GGAATGTGACAGATGTGCAGGACGAGGACAGCCAGCGCACGTCAAACACTCTTCCTGTTCTGTGAGCACACAGTCAGAAGCTGCAGACTCCAACTCTCGCATGTTTTTGGGGCTTTGAGAGAAAAATGAGTACAGGGAGTCAATGAACATCTGAAAATGACTGTCCTCTGTAATATATTTTACAGCATCATCGAGCGTAAGCTCTAAATCGTGATTGACACAGTGACTGACGGTCAGGTTAGGGTTAATCTTCTGCTCCTCTGTATCGGCCCATCAGAGCAGCAACAGCAGATACAAAGCCACCAAACCGAGAGTGATGAATCCTCCATATCAAGAACACATCCGGCTACTTTCATGCGCTCTCACTTGTGTTCATGAGTCCTGAAATTTAACTTTGACAGTTGATGATAATGTAGATCAGGAGCGCCGGAGCCCTGCAGAGTTTAGATTCAACCCTAATCAAACACATCTGATCCAGCCAATCAAGTCCTACATGATTTGTGTGTTGGAGCAGGACTGGAACTAAACTCTGCAGGGCTGCGGCTCCAGGAACTGAGTTTGACACCCCTGATGTAGAACGAGTACTCAAGGACTGAAGATCGCATAAAGCCTTCTACACACTGCATCTAAACAGTGGTCCTGTGTCGTACAGTGAGAGAGGTTCAAAGACAGCTGTTGTCACGTTCTTGCGACCAAAGATAGCCTACGATCTATGGAATGCCAAACCATTTTATTTATAAATAAATACATATACAAAGGACATTTAAAAATATATATTATTTATACTTTTATTTCCTTATGTATATTTTTTTCCACATTTTATTTTTTTCTTTTATTTCCACATTTATTTATTTCTTTATTTATTAATTTCTACATTTATTTATTTTCACATTTATTTATTTCTACATTTCTTTGTCCGTCGGGTAATGATGAGTTGTGTTTTACCTCAGGAATAGTAATCGAGCCAGAGTAGGCGACTTGTAAGCTTTGAGGCCCAAAGCCCAAGTTACGTCTTCCGCCAATTTAGAGAGTATCACAATGCAAACGCACGCTTTCTCCTAAGCATAAACAATGCTGATTACGCAGATTACGTTCATGCGCACGCTTTCTCGCCCAAACGTAAACAACGCTGATTACGTAGATTACGCTCTTGGGTACTCTCCAAAATGGCGGAAGACGTAACTCGGGGGAGAAGAATTGTTGAAAAAATTATGATATTTTTGTTTTCTTTGCGCTCACAAAGTATTCTCATAGCTTCGCAAAACTGAGGTTGAGCCACTGATGTCACATGGACTGTTTTACCAATGTCCTTACTACGTTTCTGGACCTGGGAACATTACAGTTGCGTTGCTGTCTATGCAGGGTCTGACAGCTTTCACATTTAATCAAAAAATATCTTAATTTGTGTTCTGAAGATGAACGAAGGTCTTACGGGTTTGGAATGACATGAGGGTGAGTAATTAATGACATAATTTTTTATTTTGGGGTGAACTAACCCTTTAAGTCATTTAATATCACTGTATGTAGACTATCCTACGGAACCCCTAAAGGGACATGTTGGTGGGAAAAATACGGGGTGGAAGGAAAAAAGCTTTTGCGCTCCCCTGAGAAACGTTGCTTTCTCTTACACAACCAGTTGAGTTCGGACAAACACTTCCTGTTTACTTTACAGCTTGCAGTGGTTCATAAAGCTTCGTACGTTCACAGTGGAGCAGTTCATAGAGTTTTATTTTGAACTTGGT